GGAATAGGATTCAGCCATAAAAAGGAATGAAATCTTGCCATTTGCAACAACATGGATGGAGCAGGAGAGTATAATGTTAAGCGAAATAAGTTAAGAGAAAGACAAATACCTGATTTCACTCATATGTGGCATTTAAAAAACAAAACAAATAAGCAAAGGAAAAAAAAGAGACAAATCAAGAAACAGATTCTTAAAACTATAAGAACAAACTGATGGTTACCAGAGGGGAGGTGGGGGGGATGGGTGAAGTAGGTGATGGGGATTAAGGAGTATACTTTTGATGATGATGAGCACTGAGTAATGTATAGAATTGTTGAATCACTATATTGTACACCTGAAACTAATATAATGCTGTATGTTAACAATACTGGAATTAAAATTAAAAACTTAATTAACAAAAAGTTCTGCCTGTTTGCAGCCTTTGCACTCAAGACTGCAACATCAACTCTTTCCTGAATTTGCCTGCCCTGCAAACCAGTCCTCATAATTGTGTGAGCCAATTCCTTAAACTATCTCCCTTCCCTATCCTTCCCTCCCTGTTCTGTTTCTCTGGAGAACCCTAATACAAACCCTGATGTCTATAAACTGATGAATGGATAAACAAAATGTGATATACCTACAAAACGGAATATTATTCACCATAAAAAGAAATGAAATGCTAATACATACTACAATGTGTATTTTGATAACATTATGCTAAGTGAAAGAAGCCAGACACACAAAAGGCCATATATTATATGGTTCCATTCATATGAAATGTTCAGAATAGACAAATCCAGAGAGATGGAAAGTAGATTAGTGGTTGACTAGGGCTCAGGCGGGGGGGGGGGGGGGGGGGAGGGAGGCGGGGGGAGAGGAATGGGTAGTGAGGGCTTAATGGGTATGTGGTTTCTTTTGGGGGTGATGAAGATGTTCTAGAATTAGGTAATGGTAATGGCTGCACAACTCTGTACTAAAAACACCGAATTGTAACCTTTAAATGGGTGAATTGTATGGTATATGAATTATATCTCAATATCGCCATTATTTTAAAAATAACAAGACTTAAAATAAAAAATAAATAATATCCGTTACAATTCTGTCTCCTGTCCCTCCCCTCTGCTAGGCAATGTATGTACAGCTTGCCATCCGCCTGGCAACACCCATCATCCCCAAATTCCATGCTGCATTTTGCAATAGCCCTTCTTTCCCTTCAGTGCTAATTTAGATGATCATTTAAACCAGATTTTTAAAAACAAAACTACTAGGGATAAGGGTTGCAGGGAACTCACTCGTGTTTTGACTCCAGGCCCTATGGATGATACTGACGAGGGAGTGGCTCAGAACAGGATAGGAAAAAATTCTTCATCCTCAGGTTGCTTTACAGTGAAAAGAGAAGGCCCAGAGGCTGCATAACAGATTTTGCATTAGATATCTTTTAAAGATTCTAACAGTTCAAACTGAGCGTTCTATAGAAGGAAGGCATTCTTCCATCCTAGCTAATGATTCTCTGGGCCTTGCCTTTCACCTCCCACCAGCTAGTGTTCTATGACGACTATCAGCCACTTGCTGCACATCTCGCTCCTTCCTCTCCTCTTCCTTCATGCATACCAGCTGCCTCTTACAAGTCAGCTCTGACTGCAGTGGCTTTGAAAGCTTAAACCTATTCTGGAGGCTTATATAGTTCAGAGGTGTTCTGAATGCTAATAAAGATGCCAAGAGCTTTTATTTTTTTTTCAAAGGTTTATTTCAGAGAGAGAGGGAGAGAGCATGAGCAGGGGGAGGGGCAGAGGGAGAGGGAGAAGCAGGCTCCCCACTGAGCAGGGAGCCTGATTCAGGGCTTGATCCCAGGACCCTGGGATCCTGACCTGAGCCAAAGGCAGATGCTTAACCGACTGAGCCACCCAGGTGCCTCAAGATGCAAGAGCCTTTAGACTCGTTCTCTGTTCCTGCTGAGTTTGGAGGTGTTGCAGGGGAGAGTCAAATCTTGGGTCTCCCTTTCCTGTAGAACTTTGGTTCTGCAAGAAGAAGAAATTGACCCTGAACATTATCTAGTATTCAGGGGGGCAGCCTAGGGATATCACCTCAGTTGACCAGTCTTTGGGAGATGAGTGGTCTTTTTTTTTTTTTTAAGATTTTATTTATTTTTTTAGAGAGAAAGAGTGAGCAAGTGGGGGGAAGGGCAGAGGGAGAGGGAGAGAGAACATCTCAAGCAGATGCTGTGCTGAGCCCAGAGCCTGACTCAGGGCTTGATTTCAAGACCCTGATATCATGACCTGAGCTGAAATCAAGAGTCAGATGCTACCCAGGCACCCCAGGAGATGAGTGGTCTTAATGGGGAAGGGGTTCCCAGGGCCTCAGTAGTCTCATGCCTGTCAACATTTCCAGTGTCTCTACTCCTCAGGAGTAAAGGGCTGAAATCTAGAGATTGCCTGAAAGAGGAAAGAGAGTTGGACAGAAACAGGGCAAATTCTCAGTTTCTCCCAGGAGGGCAAAAGGAACAGGGAAATAAGAGACCAGAGGATTTAGTGACCTAAAGCGCCAGAGAGTCCTAGGGCTGAAAATAGAGAAGCTGGTGGGTGAGGGGGATCAGATGGCTGGAAACTTACAGGTCTGTATCAGCCATGGGGGAGTCCAAAAAAAAAAGTATAACAGTTGGGGCTCTGCCTTTAAGCAGCTTATGGCAATGTAGTTGTGGAATAAAAAATAATATGCTTGCAATAATTTGTAATTTGGTGCTAAACCATGGTGTTGACAAAAAAGCGCTGTAGGAACTTGGAGAAGGGACATATCATGTGGGCTGGCGTCCTCTGTGAGCTGAATGGCTGACTGAGGAAGTAGGTCTTTATGCCCCAGGACTTTATGCCCCAGTTACAGTGGCTATAGCTTTTCTAGAGATGAGTGTGCCCGAGTCTTGCATAGTTTCCTGGAGGAAGTGTGGGGGAGGAAGCCTCATCATCATCGCCATTTTTAAATCATTACTGTCATCAACAAGAACCACGATAAACATTCATTGAGCATCCCTCCCTGAGTCTACACTTCTGTTGGGTAGGCAGGCCAAACACAGAAAGAGTTGAAGGACTGGTGCAAGAGAGAGTGAGCCAGTAGCGTAGAGACTGAGGGAAGAGTGAGGGCTGGGGAGGTGAAAGAAGGCTTCTTGGAGGAGGGAGTACTTGAGCTGACCCCTGAAGGAAGGTTAGGGTTTGGACTAATGGAGGAAAGAGTGCAGGACACTGTAAATGACCTCAACAAGACACAGAGGTGGAAGTGAGGAGGCAAGTATAATTAAATGAGAAAGTTTGCTGGACTGGAGCAAAGGGTTTGTGATAGGGTAACGTGGATAATGAAATTAGAGAGGGAAGTAGTGTGGTGATTACAGAGAGCCTTTAGTGGCATCCAGAGGGAGGGGGTGTTTAGGAACAAAGTAGGAAGGTCTTGTAGACTTGTGTATTGGGGGCATGCTGAGGGCACAGGGAAGGAGGAAAGGCTAAAAGAATTGGGATTCTCCATTCTTTCTAGATTCAGTCTCCCGTGCTAGGGTGACCAACTTATCCCATCCCAGCAAACTGAGATGAGTTTGTCACCCTACTCGAGATCCATCTTGGGAACAGGTTCCTAAGAAGCCCCCAGAAGTTCTTCACCCTATATTGTTGGTGGAGAACCCTGTGCCAGTTGGAAAGCCCCAGCCAATTAACACTATCTGTGAAGTGTTCTCAGATAGTGTTGACCTGCCTTGTGAAAAGGAAAGGAGGAAGGATCAGCCTGCTAACCCAGCTAACCCAGCTCTGAGCAGGCGCACAGGTGCAGACCAAGATAGTGTGCCTGCTTCAATGGCAACAAGCTTTAGAAGTAGATTTGTCCCTGAATCAGCCCTGGGGAAAGGAGGCAGCAACAGCAGGAATCTTAAATCAACACAACCACAAGACTAAGTCTTTCTCCAGGCCATCATTTTGGTGGCAGCTAGTTGGCCACTCCTCACATATCCTTTGTACTGACTTCCTGCAGCAAAAGGAGATTGGCACAGGCTCTGCTACATTTAAATTATTACCAGGAGGCAGATGTTTTCTCTGTTTCTCTGGGGTTTAGAATTATGCAAATGAAGGCATGAAAACAAAAGCTCAGTGAGGTGGGGGAGGATTGATCTTAAGAATCCTGGCAATTTTCTGAGCTCTTTAAGTCACCCCTCTCAGCTTTTACTAACAGCTCTCTTGGCTCCTCTCCAGTCTATTTAGAATTTGGCACCTCTTGAGAACCTTCCAGCCAAAGACCTGAAAGTTCAATTCTAAAGTTCCTATCCCGGCCTCATTTTGCAAGTGGGGAAATCAAGGCATTATAATATGAGTTTTCAGTGCTGACCTTGAGTCTTGACAACCCCCCCTCCCCCCCCATCCTTTTCTATCTTAACCTCTGCTGCATACAGACTTGCCTGGAAAGGAAACTATGGCCCAATTGCCTCTCAGGTCTCCTCCGCCCCACCCCACCGTGATATTATCTGGAGGGCAATAGGACCTAGGGAAGTTTAACCCTGAGGCCGAGAGGGAGGGCGGAGAGGGGAGAGAGGAGAAAGAGGAGAGAGAGAGAGAGAGAGAGAGAGAGAGAGAGAGAGAGAGAGAGAGAGAGAGAGAGAGAGAGAGAGAGAGAGAGAGAGAGAGAGAGACCTGCCTAACCGCGTGGGTTGTGCAAGTGTGCGAGCTAGCTAGTTCCCGAGGGCGGGGTAGAAGTGGGCGTCTGCTGCTTTGGGGGAAGAGGAAAGCTGTGGCTTCCCTCTGGGATCCGGCGGCCGTGGTGAGAAGCTGTTCCGAAGGCCAGCCCAAGTCCCCCCTTTGGTTTGTCGCGCCTCTCCACGGGGAGCATCCTTGGGCTGCCCGCCCTGGAACTCGCAGGCTGGTTTTGTTTGGCCCCAGCCGTCCCTCCCATTTGGCCCGCCCCCGCCTTCAGTGCCTTAGTTTCCCAAGCCGCCGATCTCTCCCAGCTGGAACTGCAGGTCAGGGAGGACCCCAGCAGCCGACGGGGCGTCCAAGAGTCTGACGGCATCTGCCTTTGCCCTCCCGGGCTGGCGCCCCGCACGTCGTGCTTCTCGCTCGCAAAGTTTCTCTGTGGGAAGGACGCCCCTCTAGCTTTCTCTGGCTCCTGGAGCGCGGGGGCGCTCCGCCCCTCCCCCCAGCCTGCGCTCCGGGCCCGGGTTGGTGCCTTTGCTCCAGCCCCCGGCCGGCTGCCTCGGGGGCGGAGCTTGGGGAATCGGCAGAGCGAGCTGGAGAAGCTTGGACTCGGCGCGGTTCCTGAGGGAGCAGCGGCGAGCGGGCGAGCAGGCGAGCTAGTAGCCACAGCCTAACGATAGCTTAGGGTACCTAGGCACTGAAATGAGCCCCCGAAGGGACGCTCAGGCTGCACCCCCTCTTCTGCCCTGGTTCAGTTCTCGGCAGGTTTGAGAGGGCGTGCTGGTCAGGACTCCTCGAGAGGTGCTGCTGAGTGTTGGTGCCCCCGACAGAGTGGCTACCCCGCTCCCTGCGGGGCTGCGGAAGGAGAAGGGGCCAAGGAGACAGCTGTCCCCAAGCCTTTCACGTGCCTGGAATTGGACTCCGGACTGGGCGCTAAAATGCTTGCTTTTGCCCTGTCCAGGTTTCTTAGCACGTCTGTGGACGATTGGAAGCCTGGGCCAATGAAGAGTCAAGTTCAAAGTGGTACTCCCGGGTTCTCTGTCCCATACTCCCAACAAGTGTAACTTGAAACTAGAAAGAGGAGTCTCCTACTCTAACTAGCAGATCTCCGCTCTGGAATTGTACTTGACAGCTCTCTTCAATACTTGGACTGCATTGGCTACAGGGTTCTCTTGGGTGGGGGTGGGGGTTGCTCAGAACCTCGACAATGGACCGAGTTTATGAAATTCCTGAGGAGCCCACCGTGGATCCAACTTCATCTCTGGAGGAAGATGTCATCCGTGGGCCCAACCCTCGATTTACCTTTCCATTTGGGATCCTCTTCTCCACCTTTTTGTACTGTGGGGAGGCTGCATCTGCCTTGTACATGGTCAGAATCTACCGAAAGAATAGCGAAACCTACTGGATGACATACACCTTATCCTTCTTTATGTTTTCATCCATTATGGTCCAGTTGACCCTCATTTTTGTTCACAGAGATCTGGCCAAAGACAAGCCGCTGTCATTGTTTATGCATCTAATCCTCTTGGGACCTGTTATCAGGTGAGCAATTTTTCATTTCTACCACCCCCATAGGGTTTGTGCAGAGAAAGATGAAGCTAATATTTACAAAACTGATACTGTGCCTCTAATCAATTCTCCCATTCCCTCCCACTCTTGGCTTCCCTGCCTCCCATCCAGAAAATCTTATCTGAAACTTTAGATGCCACCACAATGAACATGTGGCATGTACCTGTGTTCCAAAACCATGTATGGTACCATTGCTGAGACTTCGGTAGACAGTGTTTGCTGTTCGGATTTGAGTTGTGAAAATTGGTACAGGACCAGCTGACGTGCTTAACCTGTGCGCACCGGCCATAGCTTCAGAGTGTGTTATTTTGACTCTGCCTTTTAGACACTCTATAAACTGGATCTCACATTCAATTTCTTTACCCTGAGCTGCTTGGGCTGATGGTGGTGGCATTTTCAAATTTTCCAGAGTTATTTGACATCTGGAAAATATTTTCAGCTATTTGTCATCATCTAGTACCCCAACCCATTGTAGTTTGTTTTTTTTTTTTCTGTTGGTTCACCAGTCTCTTGTGTATCTCTTTGTATCTTTCTGCAGTAAAAGTACATGGTTAGAGGGGGCAGAAGAAGATAGTCCATCTCTCTCCATCTGGATGCTGGAGTACACTGTAATAATATCAAGTCTTTCCATTCAGACTGCCTTGAAGGGATGAGAATGTGCCTTATCTTAGGGAGACAGGCTTCTGTGTCAGCAGTCTCATCTGGACGCTATGGGATTTTCAAGGTAGGGAGATGTTGCAAAACTTATGAAGTCAGGAGGAAAGAATGGACCAAGTTTGTCTTGATTGCAATCAGCTGAAGAATATGTGTCAGAGTGTTGATGTTGTAATTGCAGTGGGAAGATATTTCATCCTTAGAGAACTAAACACAGCCTGAAACTGTTCAAGGATGGAACTCCCCTGCCTTAAAATTTTTTTAAATCAATATATGCTCAAACAAGGAGGGACTGATTAGGCTCCATTAGAGAAAACGGTAGCCTGGAATTCCAGTAGCCTGGAGTCTAGTCCTCCCTCTGTCATTGACTAGTTAGTTGCAGGGCTTTGGTGAAATCTCTGAAGATGCCTTGGGCCCCAGTTTCTTCATCTGTATGATAAATGGGTTGGGCTAGATCATGGGTCTCAAACGCAAACGCTTACAGGGGCCAGGCAGGTCTCATAAATGAGTGAAGCAGGCCCAGTATGAGAAAACCAGTAGCTTCATGTGTGATGATAAATGAAAAGGAAGTCTCAGTGTTAGAGAAATGATGGAGAGTAGTGTGGCAAGCTAGAGTCTGCATGATTTGCCTAAAGGAGGCGGCTACTCTACAGTTCCAGCCCATTGTTTCGCTTTTGGAATTCAGACCCAGTATTGCCAGATTCCCCAACTTTTCAAGAGAAGCTTCCAAGACAGGATTTTATATGAAATATCAGTTTGACTTTCGGCAACTTGACTAAATAACACAGTATGGACAAACCACAGCTGTTGGTCAGATATGACTCAGCTGGCCTATATGCAGCCTTTGGACTAAGCAATCTAAAGCTCCTTTCCAATTCTAAATCTTTGAAGTTAAGCTGTAAAAGAAATACTTCATCTTGAACTTGGAACCAAGAAATTTAGAGATGTTGGGGCACCTGGATGGCTCAGTTGGTTAAGTGTCCGACTCTTGATTTCAGCTCAGGTCATGATCTCAGGGTCCTGAGATGGAGCCCGCATGGGGCTCCATGCTGAGTGTAGAGCCTGCTTAAGATTCTCTCTCTCCCTCCCCCTCTCCCCCTTCCCACCCCCTGCATGCACATGCTTTCACTCGTGCTCTCTCTCTAAAAAAACACACACAAAAAAACCCCCACAAATTAAGAGATGTCACTAGAGGAACAAGGAAAACCATTCTTATCAGCCTTTTCAAATGTGATATACTGAGGTAACAGATCAAGCACTCTGAAGGTGCAAATTTCAGCAAGTACTGCCCCAGTCTGGAGTTTAGACTTCCCTCCTTTGCTTTGTGGCCTCCCAAGCCAGCTTTGACTCGGACCCACCATATGGAGTATTGAGTACTGTATTTCATTTTTGTTATTTAGCTTCCACTAGAAATGATTGGAAAGCATTTATAATAATCAGCTAACCTGACAGCAGGGAAAAAATAATTAAAAGCTCATAAATTATATCCTTGATATGCTTATGTTCAAGGCAAATTACTTTTTAGGTAGGTAGGAACTTGATTAGTGCTATTAGGCACATGAAGGTGTTTGGAGGGCCTGGCTCCCTTATATGAAATGCAAAGATATTCTGAAAATGAAAATGTGCTCTAATTTACTGAGGCTTGTAACAAGGCGAACACCCTCACTGAAACCAGTGAATAGCCTTTAGAAGCATAAACAGAATGCTTCCTGCCGCTACCTCCCCCAGTATTTTATTCAGCAATAGCACTGATGGGCCTGGGTTAAAATCTAAAATCTTTTGTTGGAAATGCACTTAGCTTGTTTTCTTCTCTGTTCTCTCCTCCTTCCACCTTTTCCTCTCCTGCGTTTTAGAGTTTGAAACGTCCACTTCCTAGGGAGAAACTACATGCTTCAGACTGACACATATGCCCCAGTCTCAGAGGGGTCCTGTGGACAATGGCAGCCGGCACATGTCCAAACCTTCCTAATTGGGAGCCAAAGGCCTAGAGAGCATATAAATCTCTGAGCTTGTCTTTAGCCTATTTTTCCATTAAATTACATTGCCATTATTTTTATCATCCTCCCCTCCCATCATTTCTCACCCTGTATTCTTTTCTTCCTTCTTACTCTTTCATTACTCAGAAAATATTTATCGAACACCCACCATGATAAGGGTGGTGGGCAAGATAAATACAACCCATGCCCTCAGTCAGGAAAGACAGCTTACTTTTCACCACAACTGTTCTTGCTTATTATAATAGTCCACAGTTTCTATTCATTTCAGGGTGAGTGGAGGAAGCGGTAACTCAGGTGTTCCAAAACAAGATGTTCTAGTTGCCTCTCTTCTAGTCACCACATCAGAATTGCTTAAAGGCTTCTGATTCATGTGGGAGAGATGGGAGGGAGACAGCAAGAAATGGGGTCTTCTCACTATTTCAAGGTTGGTAGGCTCTCATAAGGATGTTTTCCTCTCTGTAAAGAAAGAAGGAAGTTTAAAAGGCTCTTGGCCCCAAACAGATCAAGAGGCCCCAAAAATAACCTTCAGAGAGATCTTTTGATGTTCCTGAGGGATGTAGCACATTCAGTTCTGAGTTGTCAAGTCTTTAAGTACCTTTGTTCTTGAATGGCATCACTGTATAGATGTGAGGTTTTTTTTTCTAGATCCCCCTCCAAGACTTTTTGGCAAGACAATTACAGTTGTGGGCCTTGTCTTGAAAAAAGCAGAACTCAAAAGCCCCAAGTATGGAGCTGAATGCTTTGCATAAAGAATGCTTTCCCTCAGGAACTTGAGGTGTTATGAAAACCGGGGCCTTTAAGAACCTTCATCGTTTTCTCCCAACACATTATTTACATAATATCATTGTGTCCAAAGTGCTTTTCTACTATAGGCCTGTTCTTAAGGAGACAAAGCAATTCCTTAAATCCTCCAAGAAACACCCTGAGATGGTGTTCACAGAGGTCAGTAGATGGCCAGCCAAACAAAAAAGGATTTAAACTCAAGTAACTTGTGGAAGGCATGACGAACTCTTTGACTCATGAGAAATGAGTAAAATGGGAATTAAGGAATGGCAAAAAGCAGCACAAACTCCCTGAGTTGTATTATTCTCCCCTCATCCTACAACCTTCCTTCCCAGGACAGCTTTAGTTAAGTACCCGTGATGCTTTACCTCTGCAGATGTTTGGAGGCCATGATTAAGTACCTCACACTGTGGAAGAAAGAGGGGCAGGAGGAGCCCTATGTCAGCCTCACCCGAAAGAAGATGCTAATAAATGGCGAGGAGGTGCTGATAGAATGGGAGGTGGGCCACTCCATCCGGACCCTGGCTATGCACCGCAATGCCTACAAACGTATGTCACAGATCCAAGCCTTCCTGGGCTCAGTGCCCCAGCTGACCTATCAGCTCTATGTGACTCTGATCTCTGCAGAGGTTCCCCTGGGTAGAGGTGAGTGGGGTCAGGAGAGGGGAGGGCTCCATTTAAATCAAGGGTCTTAGAAATCCAGACCTGAGCTGTCCAATACACTGGTCATCAGCTTCATGGGGCTATTTAAATTAAAATGAAACATGGAATAAAAAATTTACTTCTTCAGTCATACTAGCCACATTTCAAGTGTTCAATAGCCGTGGTTACTGTATTGGATAGCACAGGTATTACAGAACCTTTGAACAGCACTGGTAGATAGTCAAAGAAGTTGGGGAGCCAGACATCTTAGGCCTGCCAGATTTCTTTAACTGGCATAAGCTATTAAGGCTAAAAATGCCACAGATAAGCCCTCTCTGGACCCAGAAGTAGCTGGTAATACCAGCAGTCAGTAGGACACTTTCCCTAGCCCAGAGTGTTTAAATTATACTGAGGGTTTTTTGTTTGTTTGGGTTTAGGGATGGCCATCTTTTAATAAGAGGTTCCCAAATATTACTGATCACGAGAAAACATATTACTGGGTGAAAGCTCCTTTTTAAAAGAATTTTTTCTCCTACTCAGACCAGACTCAATCTGAGTGTGGGGAGGCCAAGAATCTGTATTTAAAAAAATATACCCCAGTTGATTCTGATCAGCCACATTTGGGAACCACTGATTTAATTACTTCTCTCAACTCCAGTGGGGAGAAAGAAATGGGGGTGTGGAATGAATACTGGTGAAAATGAGCCTTGGTCCCAGTACTGACCTTCTGTGTGATTTTTGGAGGAAGTTACCCAAGAGGTCACAGTCTTAATTTCCCACTTGTAAAAGACGGATCCTTAGATGAGTAAGACCTCTAGGAGAGGAGGAAATGTGAGTCATGTTTTCAAAGTCAAGATAAAGTACTGTTAATGAGTTTTAACAGCTCAAGATTAGCTTCGTCTGCTTGGGCTGGAGCTGGTACAGCTGTGGGTACAATTTTGAACCATTTCCTTATTATTAGATGCTGATTCTGCTTGGCAAAGCCGCATGTCACAAATGAACCTAAGGAGGGAATTTGTTCCCTTTTCTCTTTTCCTCCACTAAGAATTGTTCATGGAATTGTTGGTCTTGAAGCTTTTTACGTACCTAGGATTGACGGTAGTGTGAAGAGAAAAGGAAGTGATGATGCTTTTCCTCCTGAGAATTTTGAAGGTCATCAAATCATCTAATTAAAATATGTATACGTTACAGAAGTAATGCATGCACAAACCGATTGACCTGCAAGTAATCACAGATGCGTAGAAAATTTCTGGAAAGATATGTCAGAAACCATTTACCTCTGGGGAGTGAAAATGAGAAGTCCTTTGACATTTACCTTTTACTTTATACCCTTCTGTATGGTTTGAAATTTATATGGTTTAAAATTTTTGCTATGACCATGTATTACTATTTTTGGTCCTTATTTATTTATTTATTTTTTATTTTTTTATTTTTTTTAATTTTTTTTTTTAAGGTTTTATTTATTTATTTGACAGAGAGAGACACAGCGAGAGAGGGAACACAGCAGGGGGAGTGGGAGAGGGAGAAGCAGGCTTCCCGCGGAGCAGGGAGCCCGATGTGGGACTCGATTCCAGGACCCTGGGATCACGACCCGAGCCGAAGGCAGAAGCTTAACGACTGAGCCACCCAGGCGCCCGGTCCTTATTTTTTTAATTATAAAAATCAGACATGGTTATGATAAAGAGTCAAAACCACACAGAACATATATCAAATAGGAGATGTAATTTTACTCCCCAGAAGTAATCTCTGTTAACCATTCAGTATATATCCTTCCAGACTCTTTTTTTCTTTACTATGTAAACATACATACAATATATATGTATATATATTTTCGTCAAAAAGGGCTGTATTAAACATTCTGTTCAACATGTCTTTTTTCAAAAGTATGCCAATATATCTTCCTTCAACGGTTACTTATATATGCATATATAATAGTAAATGATAAATAGATAACATATATTTTCTTTATATGAACTGGACCATTCTTTGTTATTTCTCTAATCTTCTATTGGTAGGATTAAAGTTTGTTTCTGATTTTTGCATTTAAAAAAGTTTTTTCTAATCACAAACTATGCTCCAGCGAACATCTTTATAAGTATCTGTGTACCGGAATGAGACTTCCTAGGATAAGTTCTTAGCAATGGAAGTGCTGGGTGAGAGGCTATGCATGTTTGGAATTTTATCAGTACTGCCAAATAGCCCTCCCAAAAGGTGGTGTGAATTTATATTCCCACCTGAGGTGTATGAATGTGCTTTTTCTTTATATATTAAACTAAATATTATTTAGTTGTATAATTATAAAATAACTGATTACTTAAATAATTTGCTCTTAATTGTGAGGGTAGCTGAGCATCTTTTCATGTTTGGTTATTGTGTTCTTTAAATTGCTGATTTATAGTGGGTTGTCTTTTTCTTATTAATTTGCAGGAGCAGTTTTCTTATTCTGGTATTAATCCTTTCTCTGCTGTAGATAAGTGTGTATGTATACATTTATGTGTTTTGTATTTGTGTACATACACACATTTTAAATGGTCTTCTGGCTTTCTGAAGTATTAAATTTTTATGCATTTAAATTCTTTATTGCTTTTGGATCTTGTGCACTTCTCACAAAGGCCTTTCACAACCCCTATCTGATAGGGCAATTTAGCCCAATCTTCCAAATAGATGAATTTCCACAAGCAGTTTGTCAATTCCCCCACCAAAATACAAAACAAAGCAAAACAGTAACAACAACAAAAGAAAAAAAATTTTATTGAGACTGTGTATTGGCTTGCATTAAATTATTTAGGTTGTTTTGGAGGGAATTTACATCTTTACAGGATCAATCAGTTTCATATTAGAAGGTGATGTATCTCTCCATTTCGTTAAATAGTTTTTTTTTCGTTAAATAGTTTTATATCACTTTATTGAGGTATGATTGACAGAAACCTCTACCTATTTAACATATCCAGCTCGATGAGTCTGGAGATAAGTATACATCCAGGAAATAACCCCACAGTCTATGCCATAAATGTGCAAGGCCGGAGCAGGAAAATGATACAGCTTTATTGAAGTACATTAAAAAATATTTAATGAAATGTACTTCAGTAAAGTTGTATCGTTTTCTTGCTATAGGTTTTGCACATTTTTGTAAGGCTTATTTTTAGGTATTCTATTAGTTTTTAAATCACCTGATTGCCTGAGTAGGGGAAATGCACGTACTAGTCTTTTGGAAATGGGGAATGATGATGATGATGATGATAGGAGGTAGCAGATAGCATCTACTATGTTCTGAACATTTCTCTAAGCCCCCTGCATGTAATTATTTAATCTTTACAACAACCCTGTGATAGAATTATTACCCCCATTTTAACAAATGAGGAAACAGAGGCATTGAGAGGTTAAGCAAATTCCCCTCATGCTTTCATAAGTAATAGTTGGCAAAGATGGGATTGGAATCCAAGATGCCTGCCTGCAGAGCCCATGTTTCTAACTGTATCGCTCTACAAAGGATGCAAGGGAAACTTTCTCTGAGGCCTTGGTTTCAACTCTTTGGTGCTTTCTCCTATTAAAAACTTGCTGACAGTACCATCTCTTAAAGTTTGGTAAACAGTTTTTGGGGTTAGATCTCCTCATTTTCATCCACTCTGCTGTCTTCTCCTTGCTACCCCTTTTTCTAATCTCTTTTTCTCTTGGAGGCCATCTGGATCAGCATAGATGAGCAAATTCACTAACAGCATTATGATCTCTTACGGCATGAGTCTATTTGTAGGGAGACAGATGGAAGGTGTTTTTACATTTATTGGAAGCATCAGGCTTTCTTTTATTACACTACTATCAATAAATGAGTTCTAATTTAAGGGAAAGCATCACCACACTTGGCTAGATGACGTTCCCAACTAGGAGCATCAACTCTTAAGGATGGGACTAAGAGTGGTTTATAAAGCTAAGAGTATATCAAATCGTTTTGTTGTGCACCTTAAACTAATACAATATTATATGTCAATAATATCTCAATAAACATGGAAAAATAATAAATAAAAATAAGGCTAAGAGTAGACCCTTCAAGAGAGTCTCTCCAGTCTTTGAGATTCCAACACTCTACTTAGAGCTGAAAAGGATCTTGGAAACAAAGCTGTGCTTCTTTTTGGGTTTCCATGGGGAAGTCTTCACTTTCCTTGCAGATTAAGTTGACATCTCCATGGCTCCAGTTCCCTGGGATCTAGTATTTTTATGGGAACAGAAAGTTCCAGCTTTTTTTTTTTTTTGATGAGTTACCCCTCAGGCCTCTCACTCTCCTTGAGAGCAGTAGATTTTTCTTAGTGATTGGCATTCTTTGATATAAAGGAATGAAAGGAAAGGGACACCGTGTGATCTATACTTGAGACTTAGTGTAGCAAGTTATGGAGCATCCTGACCCTTCAGGGCCCCAACTCTAAACAGTGGCATGGATGTGATACGCTTTGAAATGGGGTTTAAAAATTTTTTTTTAAACCACTCTGGTAGAAGTTTGGAGATTCCTAAAATATACCAAAGCACCTGGGTGATAAATTGATATTGCTGATGATTTATGCAAGCAATTCTAGAGTATCTCAGTGAATTGGGGAACTAAGGCACATAGATATTCAGTGGCTTTCACGGAGCTGAACTAAGGGCTTCTAATTGTAAATATTCTATGCTGCCTCTCTAAACTCAGAATTCCTCATTAATTCCACAAACATTTATTGAGCACCTACTATCTTCCAGGCAGTGTGTTAGGCTCTGGGGACACAGCATGGAACAAAGTAGCCATGGTCCTTTCTGCCTTCATGGAATTTCCAGTATACGTTCTGACACATTCTAGAAATAAATACAAGATTCATTCCTTAAAGAAGGTATGTGTCAAGGAAGGGACTTCTGTAGCCAAAGGCATTACCTATGAATTTCCTAGGACTGGCTTTTTTCAGAATTCCTTCTGCCTCCTTCATTGTTTGCTCAGAAGCCTATTTCATCAAGTGGGTGCTGCCTTATCCCTTCATATATGTGCTCTTCTTGTGTTAGTGACCTCTCAATGCTAGTTCTGAGATCCACTCTTCTTAAAAAGTTCATTTTGTATGTTTCCATGATTATTAAAGTGTTGCAATGTATGTTCATTTTGGGACATTTAGAAACTAGAGAAACATAGAAAAAAAGGATTTTGAAAACTGGTATAATCCCTAGCACAAAAAATATATTTTAGTTTATTTCTTTCCATTTTTTTTCCTGTGCATGCTGTGTGCTGTGCTAACATAGCTGTGTTCATATGTGAATTTGCTCTTAACTGGGCCCTCAAGCCTCACCTATCCTCTCTCTGGACCTCCGGGTCTGAGTTCAAGCTTCTCTAACATAGTCTGATTGTCTATTTTTTCTGTTATTTTTTTTTCTTACAGCTGTGCTAATGGTCTTTTCCCTGATCTCTGTCACCTATGGGGCTACCCTCTGCAATATGTTGGCTATCCAGATCAAGTATGATGAATACAAGATTCGCCTTGGGCCGTTAGAAGTCCTCTGCATCACCATCTGGCGGACATTGGAGATCACTTCCCGCCTCGTGATTCTGGTGCTCTTCTCAGCCACCTTGAAACTGAAGGCTGTGCCCTTCTTATTGCTCAACTTCCTGATCATCCTCTTTGAGCCCTGGGTTAAGTTCTGGAGGAGTGGTGCCCAGATGCCCAATAACATTGAGAAAAATTTCAGCCGGGTTGGCACCTTGGTGGTGCTGATCTCCATCACCGTTCTCTATGCGGGCATCAACTTCTCTTGCTGGTCAGCTTTGCAGTTGAAACTGGCAGACAGGGACCTCGTTGACAAAGGCCAGAACTGGGGGCACATGGGCCTGCACTATAGTGTAAGGTTGGTAGAGAACGTGATCATGGTTTTGGTTTTCAAGTTCTTTGGAGTCAAAGTGTTACTGGATTACTGTCCTTCCTTGATTGCTTTGCAGCTCATCATTGCTTATCTGATTTCCATTGGCTTCATGCTCCTTTTCTTCCAGTACTTGCACCCATTGCGCTCACTTTTTCCCCACAACGTAGTGGACTACCTCCATTGTGTCTGCTGTCACCGGCACCCTCGGGGCAGGATTGAGAACTCAGAGCCATCCCGTGATGCTGAAGCAAGGCAAAGCATTGTCTGAGATTCTGTCTTCTGGGTCTTTTGGGATAGGCTGGGGGTGGTCAAGAGCAACTTTGAAACTAAAGGAGAGGATGAGGCTCATAGGTGAGTACCCACTGGGACATTTTCTTGAATTTTCTGGTAAGCCTTTAAGAAGAAAGGGCAGCTCCCAAATGGGATTTATTTCCTTAAGATTGACTGTTATGTTTGGAAACCCAGGGTAGCTACTATAAACCAAGAAGGGTCAGAGATACTGTGAACCCCCCGCCCACCCAGGGCAGCTGTTTGGCTGCCCTAGGGGATAACTTACCTCCAAGCACCTTAAGCTCTCTGGATGTGATCTTGTAGCTCTGCTCATTTGCTCCAGGGCATTCCTGAGCTTTCCTAGGGCTGAGATGAAGGCCCAGAATTCCACCAGAATCTGATCAGAGGATGTGACAACTTGCTAATTATGGGTACCTCCCAGGAAACTGGCTGATTAATGTGGAATTGTAACTGTAAGCATGGCTGCTTTTGTTTTTTTTTTTTTTTTAAATCCACTGAGAAACTGTGGTTTAAGAAGCAAACCCCCACTACTAAAAGAGCTGCTTCCCAAACAAGTTAGCTTTCCATTCGGATTTTACTAGTGATCATTCATCAAAGACCTCTCTTTTCAAGCAGCCCTTCCTAGGCACACTCCGAGGAGGGAGTGTGGAGTAGGATTCCTGCAGGGCATAAGCCAGAATGACTCTTTCTCAGGGACCTGCAGGGGCATCCAGCTTGTGGAATGGAGTGGTTGAGTAAAATCTCTCACTTCGTGCCTCGTTATCAGGAATTCCCTCCAACCTGGTTTTTCTGTGCTCTTGTCATTTTACTACTTGAGATAGATCTCAGAGAAGCTGAACTGTAATTGAAAATGTTTCTAATGTATAGAAGAAATGAAGATTGTGTTGTGTCTCCTACTGTTCTGAGTATTTTGCTGGTTCCCCACCCCCGCCCCGCCCAGGGGAGAGAGAAGGTAATAATAGCTGTGCTATTACCTTCATGCTGTTTGGGTTTTTGGATGGCAGCTAATACTCCAAGGTAGAGTGAAGACAGAGGAGGGAAAGCAGATCACATTAACTCATCATTGGTACTGGTTTTTGCCCACCGGGTTTTATTTTCTAATAAGGAAATGTTTATCATCCTTCTGCTCATTCCCACACCCCCAACGGATGAATGCATATCTCCCTTTCTCGTGTATCTCCTATCAGTGGGGTATTTTGATGGGGAAGTCAGCTAGATGCCTCTAAGTTAACCGAGGAATCGAGGCTAGTATGGCCACTGCCTATTGGGACCTAGTACCCCAGCATTTACCTAATGCTTACCCCTCACACACCAGGAAAAGTCGAGAATTCCTAGTAGCATGTGCCAATTGTTGCTACCACAATGTTTTGAGAAATTGTGAACGATCTGACCTAAAACTTCTCGTCCCCATCCAATTTTACTCATGAGATCATGTTAAGAGGTTATCTTTAGCCGTTTCCCTTTTATCCAGTGTCAGGAGTTTATGGCAGAGGAGCTCCCTCCTTTAAGTAGCAAGACTGTTAGCCAGAACCTTCCTATTTCCTGGCATGTCTAGTGTGGTTGTCCCATCTTCAACCACTGTTTGGGGGCTAAAAGGATTGAAGATTAATTTGGGGGGAGAGTCAAGTGACTTGCTTTGGAGCAGTGGACACTTTTTTTTTGTCAATCCATCATTTTATCTTTGATGAAGAGACTTAGGTTGGTGTCAGAAGAAGTTCACACTCCCATCTTCTGACTGTGTTATTTAAGGTGAATTTGAAAGAATCTATTAAGGCCTCCAGAAGAACACGCTGTCTCTTTGGAATTCAAGCAATAATTTCTCCCTGGTGGTTAATATGCCCTTCTATTAAAATCAGAAGCAGCGTGGAAATGTAATTTGGTCCATAAAAGCCATGTGAATCAGCTGCTTAAGGCACAGGTGCTGTGGGAACACAGTGACACACATTAAGCCAAGCAGGCCAATTAGAGCTACAGTGGAGATACACAGGGCAGAAACATGTGCCTTGGTACTGGACCAGGCGTATTTTTTCCCACTACCCTCCGCAGCCTCCATGACTTAATATTTCTGGAATGCAGGGAGTTCAGGGTGAGGGCTGTGGAGCAGCTTTGGACCTGAAAAACCTGTTGCCCTTAACCCAAGGAGAAGAGATTCTAGCGATATGTTATGCAAATGAATTCTCAGAACCTCCTGTAGGTGGTGGCCTTTCTGTTCCACAAGTCTTCCAATACACCAGAAAAGGAGAAATTTTGGAATATGGTGGTGGGGCAAGGGAAGTGCTCCCATCTGCAAACACCTCTTTAATTGACTACTCTCCTTGTACCCTTTGAAATCTTAAAGTGACACAGGGTAGTTGTGTAGGGGCAAGTGTTAGTGGGAGAGGAGGCAGAGATGGGGCCAGCAAATGGGTCTTGGAAAAGGAAGGCAGAACCATGAAGTGTGGTGGGAAAGAGAGGCTATTGTAGCAACAGCTTTTTTTTTTTTTTTTTCCACATTATTGGAAATTCGGTAAGCTGAGTATGGGCAAATGAACATGTTAAGGAAATGTATTAAATAAACTCATAGTTGTCAATTTCATTTGTTCTATGGGGCATAGAACTGGGAGGCACTGTAGAATTAAATAATAGCTGATATTTATAAGCATTTACTGTATGTCTGGCACGGTGCTTTATATGCATTATTTCATTCAGTCCTCAAAACAATCCCTTATGAGGTAGGTACTATCATCCCCCATTTTACAGATGAAGATTCTAAGGCATAGAACAGTGAAGTGACCTGCCCAAAGTCATGGCTAGTATCAGAGCCAGGATTCAGTCTTAGGCACTTAGGCACCCCAGAGCTTACACTCTTCATCATGACACAAGCCTCTAAATCCTCTTAGGTCCTTTGTGGAATTAGTTTAATATGTTAGTGGTTCCAGGAATCTTTTCTGGGCTGTGGCTCGGTTCATATCAAGCATTCTTTCTTACAAATACTTGTAATCAAGAGGCATCACTCGATTTACTCTAGAGAGAAAAAGGTCAAGTCCTAAAAGGCCTGGGATGAAAATGGAGTATGTGTTCACCTGTACTTATAGGTTGATGTTATTTAATGTTCACATGTACTTATATGTACTTATATTTAATGTTTACAGGTACTTATATACTGGGAGTGGGGGGATAAGGTGGGGGAGAGTGGTGGGTGGATCCATTTCCTCTCTAGTTTCAGGATTTTGTCTCCTGTGTGTTCTTAAACACACAGCTTCCAGACCCTGGTCGTGGGAATAAAACTAGAGGGAGCAATTACTACCCAGGTTTGTATGAATCTTCTCCCCCCTCACCTCCCAAACAACCAACCACAGCAGGGGAGTGCTGAAGCCCACTCTCTTATACTTCCTCTTAGCAACACTGCCCTTACTCCTGCTGAGAAGCTGACTTCTAGTTCTTTTTTTTTTTTAAAGATTTATTTATTTATTTGAGAGAGCGAGAATGAGAGAGAGTACATGAGAGGGGGGAGGGTCAGAGGGAGAAGCAGGCTCCTCGCTGAGCAGGGAGCCCGATGCAGGACTCGACCCCGGGACTCCAGGATCATGACCTGAGCTGAAGGCAGTTGCTTAACCAACTGAGCCACCCAGGCGCCCAGCTGACTCCTAGTTCTAAAGCAGGCCACGGATAAGGATGTGGAAGAATAATGCCCCTCCCCCATCTGTCCCAGTCCTGAGAGCCTAAATCAACATTCAGTGCTCTTTCAGCTAACCTGCTCCCACCTGTACCTCTCAAGCTCATGGTCCTCAGCATTCAGAGTTGATTGCTACTTCCATGGTAAGGGTGGTGTGAGCAGCTGAAGGGTAGAATGTTCACCGGGACATTCCATCTAAACCTGTGGAGTTCCGGGGCACCTGGCTGGTTCAGTCTGTGGAGCCTGCAATTCTTTTTTTTTTTTTTTTTTTTTTAAAGATTTTATTTATTTATTCATGAGAGAGAGAGAGAGAGGCAGAGGGAGAAGCAGACTTCCCACAGAGCGGGGATCCCGATGCGGGACTCGATCCCAGGACTCCGGGACCATAACCTGAGCCGAAGGCAGACGCTTAACCATCTGAGCCACCCAGGCGCCCGGAGCCTGCAATTCTTGATCTCGGGGATGTGAATCTGAGCCCCTTGTTGGGTATAGAGATTACTTAAAAAGAAAATCTTAAAAAAAACCCAAAAACCTGTGGAGTTCTGTTTCTGAAAAGTCCTTTAGTATAAAAGCAGTGAACTCTGGACCCTCCAAAATATTTACCTCCCCAAGAGTGGGGAACCTCATTCTCTGAAACTTTTGCTGTTGGGCTTTATTACTGTCTTCAAGGGACACACATGCCCAGAATCTTATGCCTTTCCTCTTGAAGGACTAGCACCATTAATCACACACTTTAGACCTTAGAGCCTCTGGGGTGCACAGAGAAAGTGTGATATGAGCCTTGGCAACAAAGCATATACCATGTGAAACTGGGAAGCAGCAAGGCTAACCTGTGTGAGCCCTCTGAGCTGTACATTTGAATTTGCATTGTTCTAACCTTTAATTTATTAAACAATTATTAAACTCATTTTGTGCCAGGAAAACCTACATGGATATTTCAGAGTGCTTTATAGATGCTGAAAGACTCAAAAACAAATCCCAAATATTGAGCTTAAGTGACATTGGAGATAAATAGCCACTGGTTCTCATCACTGGTATGAGAGTAAAGTATTGGCCTAAGTTTTTGGAAGGCAATTTGTCAGTATTTGTCAAAATTAAATGGGCATACTTTTTGTCTCAGAATTTTAACCTCTAGGAATTTTTCCTATGGCAACATAGCCACACTTGTGCAAAGAGATGTGTACAGGAATGTTCATTATAGCACTGTTTGTAACAATGAAAAGTTGGTAACAACTTAAATTTCCACCTATAAGGAAATGATTAAATTCTGATAATTCTATCATTGGAATACTGTCCAGCCATTAAAAAGATATATGCACCCCTATGTTTATTATAGCATTATTTACAGGAGCCAAGATATGGAAGCAACCTAAGTGTCCATCAATAGATGAATGGATAAGGAAGATGTGTGTGTGTGTACATGTGTGTGTATAATGGAATATTATGTGGCCACAAAAAGGATGAGATCGTGCCATTTGAGACACCGTGGATGGACCTAGAGGGTATTACGCTAAGTGAAATTAATCAGACTAAGAAAAATACCATATGGTTCCACTCATAAGTGGAATCTAAAAAATGCATAAACAAAATGCAAAATCAGACCTATAAATAGCGAACAAACTGATGGTCGCCACAAGGGAAAGGAGTGGGGGATTGGGCCAAATGGGTGAAGGGGAAAGGGAGATACAGGCTCCCAGTTATGGAATGTATAAGTCATGGGAATAAGAGGCACAGCATAGGGAATAAGTCAATAATATTGTAATAGTGATGTATGGTGACAGATGGGAGTTCCACTTGTGAGCAAAGCATAATGTGTAAACTTGTCAAATCACTAAGTTGTACACCTGAAACATAATGTAGCATTGTGTGTCCACTACAAAAAAAAAAAAAAAAAAAAGAATCAGGTAGACATATACAGTATGTGCTAAGTGAAAAGATTGGTGAAAAACAAGTTGAAAAACAAAATGTATAGGACGAGATTATGAAGAATTATTCAAAATTTGGAAATGAGTATCATAGGAAGAATAGTGTCTCCCTCCCAGATCTCCACGTCCTAATCCTCAGAATTTGTGAATATGTTACGTTTCGTGGTAAAGGGGAATTAAGTGGGGAATTGAGGTTGGTAATCAGCTGACTTTGAGATGGAGAGATTACCCTGAATTATGTGGGTGTGCTGGATGTAAACACAAAGGTTCTCATGAGAGAGAAGGTGATGTGGAGATGGAGACACAGATATGGAAGACGTTAGACTGTTGGCTTTAAAGATGGAGGAAGGGGCCACAAACAGAAATGCATCTCTAGAAACTGTAAAACACAAGGAAACATTCTCCCAGAGAGTGTCCAGTAGGAGCATGTCCCTGCCAACACCTTGATTTCAGCCTTGATTTCACCTTGAAATCAGTGAAACTGATTTCGGACTTCTGAACTCCAGAGCTGTAAGAAAATAAATGTGTGTTTTTTAAATCACAACTGTTTGTGATGATTTATTATAACAGCACTAGGAAACTAATACAAAGGAAAAAGATGATTACTTGATACTTTAATGTCACCTTAAGAGCATTTTCTAACAGGCCTGAGGGTCATCTGACTCTCTACACCTAGAGAATTGTAATTTAGCACAAGTGATTAGGGTTCAGTCATTTTAAATATCCATGAAACTCACCAAATGCAACAAGATTTTCTATCTGCCTAAAGCATGATTTTGGTTCTTAGTGCCTTGTAGGACTAATCAGCTTTAATTCTAACTTAGCAATATTATTTTAGTGTTATTTTAGCATTTCTTTGTTTTTAAGGGGACTATAAAATGCCAGTTCTCATATCCTCTTTTGAGTGAACTTTGCCATCTTTCTGGTTTCCTCGTTTGTGAGTTAAAATTAAACTTTGACACATGCTCACTCTCTATTTGTATGAAACTTTAAAAAAAACATTCTGAGAATCATACTTTAACAGTGATCCTGCTTTTGTAAAAACAAAACAAACTATATGGTAGTTGCGGGAGCTGGAGAAAAATGCTCCAAATTAATTTACAGCAGCTCTCTGGTTGGGAGGGGGTGTTGGGGGATTTCTTCTGTGTTAAATAGTTTGCAATATTTACATTTTGTATAACTTTACATGATATTTGCAATCAGAAAAATATATTTAAAAAGTAAAGACGTGTAAAAAATGACTCATACACAGTGTCTGCCTTCAAGTTTAAGATCTGATTGGAGAGAGCAAGAGACATGTATTGCATACAACTGACTAGAAATATGAGGCAAATTATGATAGGTGCCCTTTAAAGAAGTGGGCTGTCATCTGTTGAGTGTTTATGAGATACCAAGGTCCATGTTGTTTCATTTACACAATTTCATTTCATCATCATCATGATCCTCTGAGATAGATGCTATCTCCATTTTTCAGATGAAGAAGCTGAAGCTGAGTGACTACCCAAGATAACACAACTAATAAGGGGGAAGAGTCAGAATTTAAACTCTGGTCTTTCTGATTCCAAAGCTCATATTCTTTCCAATCAACCACACTGCCTCCCATAGATGTTGGGTCCCATGGTCTGGACTGGGTAGGACTGAAGAAGTTGGGTATTTTATACTCATCTTTGGCTCTTTAACTGGGGGCAGGTGCATTCACATATAACAGAAGGGAACAGGCAAAGGTCAATATTTACCCAACTAGCCTATGGCTTAGCCTGCTCTAATATGGTTCCCAGCCATCTGCATGTGCTCATGTTCTTGGCTTTAGGCTCTAGTCCCTCCTTGGTTTCTTGACGTAATTTGGCTCTGCTGCTCTGGTTTACCAACCTCTGCCTGCCTCACTTGACTCTCCAATTTGCTCTTCCGCATTGGATTGGCTCGCTTCCCAATGAGACATTCCTCCCACTAGCCTCAGCCCCAGGTACCCACACCTGTTAGGCAAGCTCCCTTGTCTTTCAGCCAGGAGAGTAGGATTGAACAGGCATAGGTCAGAAAACTAGATCATCCTGGGAGTGGCATGGAAGAATCATGTGCTTGGGGCCAAGCCAGAAATCCAGCGCCAGAGCAGAAAAGCAGGAATGTATTTGAGAATGAAGTTGAAGCTGGGGTTTGAAGGTTGGGGAGGTAAATAACAGGGCACAACTAAAGTCTGCAGGTGTAGCCTGGCCTGGAAACCAGTGGGTCATTGGGCACCGAGGAAAGGAAAGAAGGAATGCAAATGCTTGACACTAAGTGAATACTTCTGGGTGAGGTTTGGGGTTTTATTGCCTAGTCATTGGAGCCTGCTTCTGCTTGGGCTTTCCCTATAATACCTGGTGGTGTCAGGCAATGAGATCTAAGTAAAGTGCTGTGGGAACACTGAGGAAAGAGAGATTCAGTTTTGACTGAGGAGCTGAGGATAGGTCCGCAGAGGATGTGAGATTTGAACTAAGCCTTGAAGGACAAGCAGGGTTGCCACTGGTGGTGGGTGGGGATGCATTTTAGCAGAGGGATCATTACA